GGGAAATCAAAAGGTTATAATCCAGGTTAATAACAGAATACAGTTAAGACAGCTCCTGAAATGTGGACACAGGCATCTCAGCCTCAAGACTTGCGTATTCAGGCCAGTGTTCTCAGTCCTGTCAATATTGGTTTTCCCCGCAACTGCCCAATGAATTTTCCAATCCTATCAATATTAGCTTTTCTCCTACACAATTGTCCAAAGAGTTCTCAGTTCCTGCCAATATTTCCTATTCAGAGTCAGGGGAGGATCTCTGTGACAAATCTAGAGTTGTACAATTTATTGGCAAGATCGGCCAATCCCCTTAGAGACTGTCGAGACCAGCAAATCCCCTTGTGGATGGGCTAACATGCCCCATTTACATATTTACATCTCTCTACATAGCATATTGTCCACTCCAGCATAAAGCAAACAATCTTTTGACTAGGAAAGCCAATTTTGAGTAAAAAATCTTAGACACCAGGAATGCGGGCGGCGAGGGGGGGTGAGTAAATTGCTTAACTTCTCTGTGCTTGTTTCCTAGTCTGTAAAGTGGCAAAAGTAATGATAGTATTCTCAAGGCAAGAGCTCTTTCAAGTATTGCGGCATATCATGTATGAGAGTTATTCTTAAGTGCCATTGAGTATGACTCACAGCAACCCTATGAACAACAGATCTTGTCCTATACTGTACCAACTTTATCACCCTTGACACATTTGAGTCCACTGCCACAGATACTGTATCAACTGAAGTTCTTCCTCTCCTTCACTGACCCTCCACTTTTCTAAGAATGTCTTTTTCCAAGGAATAGCCTCTCCTAATAACATGTCCAAATTATGTCCAAAGCTTGTCCAAAAGTTTCACATGTCCAAAGCTTCACCATTATTGCCTCCAATGAACACTTTGGCTGCACTTTCTCAGACAAGTCTGTTTGTTATTGACAGTCCATGGGATGGATATTCAGTACTCTTCTCCAACATCACAACTCAAATGCATCAATTCTTCTGTCATCTTTATTCATCGTCCGATTCTCAGAATATGTAACAGGTGATTGGGAAAACTGTGGCATGAATCAGGTGCACCTTAGTCTTTAAACTGACATAACTGCTCTTCATGGAGAGATCCCTGACAGCAGACCTTCCTAATGCTATACGTCTCCCAGTCTCCTGACTACTGGTATCAAGGGTACTGATTGTAGGTCCAAACAAGATGAAATTGTTGAAAATTTAAATCTTTTCCCTATCATAATGTTGCCTATTGGTCCAGTGGTGAAGACTTTTGTTTTCTTGATGTTGAGATGAAATCCATATATAAGGCTGCAGTCCTTGATCACCTTCAGAAAGCATTTCAGGTTCTCCTCCCTTTCAGCAAGCAAACTTGTGTCATCTGTATAATGCAAGTTGTTGATGAGCCTCCCTCCAATCCTGATGCCACAATCTTGTTCATAAAGTCCAGGTTTTAGAATGATTTGTTCATTATACACATTGAATAGGTATCTAGAGAAGAGATAGCCCCGGCACATATTTTTCCCAATCCTAAACCTTTCAGTGTTTCCTTGTTCTGTTTGGACAAGAGCTTCTTGGTCTAAGTATATACTTTATCTAAGCATAATTAAATGTTCTCGAATTCCCATTCTTTTCATTGTTAGCCATAGTTTGTTATGATGCACAGAATCTGTAATGACTTTGCAAGTTCTTCTGGTATTCTCTGCTTTCAGTCAAGATCCATCTGTGATCAACAGCCACTTCTAAACCCAGCTTGAAATTCTAGCATTTCTCTGTCAATGCACTCTTCTACCCATTTTTTTGGATGATATTAATGAATATTTTGCTTGCATGTGATATTAATGATATTGTTTGATAATTTCCACATTCTCTTGGATCACCTTTCTTGTAATAGGAACACACATGGATCTCTTCCAGTCAATTGGCTAGGTAGCAATCATCTAAATTTCCTGGTACAGACTGATGAGCATGTTTAGGGCTGCATCTATTTAGAACATGTCATCTAGTATCCTAGAGATTCCTGGGGCATTATTTTCCCCCCAATTCCTTTATTGCAGTTTGAACTTCATCCTTCATCACCATTGGCTCTTTATAATATGCTACTTCTGGAAATATTTTATTGTCAGTCACTTCTTTTTTTGTGTATTCTCCTTTTTTTTTTTTAGGTGGCAGTCTCTTTTATGCCTGCATTATTTTTTTTTTTTAATTTTATACTGGTTTATTTATTGTTTTTCACACCGGATCTCTCCCTTTTCCTTCACCACCCCCTCAACAAATTGTGCACCTCTATGATTAACTCCCCCCTCCCTTTACCTTCTTATGATGCTTCCCAGATCCTTCAAGATTTTCCCCATAGCATCTCAGTCTTGCAAACTCTAGATCTGAATCTGTTTTTTTTTTCACAAATAATAATTTTTATTTGTAATTATTAAAAGGCTGAATTTTAAACAGATTCTTGAACTGGTGGCTCATAACCATCAGCTCGTTCAACTTTTGCACCTGTCTCATCTCCAGTAGCTTTTCCAGAACTACCACCTTCACCATGAATCTCCATGA